CTTGAGAAAGAATCAACGTGCCTTGAAACTGAGCACTTTGACTGCTCTGGACATCCTGGTGAAGAACTACAGCGACAGCCTCAAGCCTGCCATGATCGAGTCTGTGCTAACAGAGCTCCCTGCCTTAATTACTGAGAATGACATGCACGTGTCCCAGGTGGCCATCATGTTCCTCACGACTTTGGCAAAGGTTTATCCATCCTGCATCTCCAAGATCAGCGGCTCAGTCCTCGCTGAAATCTTTCAGCTTGTCCACTCACCTTTGCTTCAAGGAGGGGCTCTGAATGCCATCATCGCCTTCTTCCAGGCACTGGTCCTGACGAAGGCAGCCACCACGAGTTACCCTGAGCTGATGAAGCAGCTGACAGCACCCGTTTACTCCTCGGGTTCGGCCGGGGCCTCGCTGACGTTGCACAAACAGGCGTATCACTCCGTCGCAAAGTGCGTGGCAGCGCTGTCCTCGGCCTGCCCGAAGGAGGCCCCTGCGACAGTGAACCAGTTTGTTCAGGATGTGAAAAGCCCCAAGTCCAGTCCTGCTGTTCAAGTGCTGGCTTTCCTCTCCCTGGCAGAGATGGGCCGTACCACAAACCTCAGTGCTCACAGGGAGCTCAGAACTGTCATCCTGGAAGCGTTTGCTTCCACCAGTGAAGAGGTGAAATCCGCTGCCTCCTACGCGCTGGGAAATGTCAGTGTTGGGAATCTGAAGGAGTATCTGCCCTTCATGCTGAAGGAGATCGGAAGCCAGCCCAAGCGACAGTACCTGCTGCTGCACTCCCTGAAGGAAGTCATCAGCTCCTCCCCGGCCGACAGCCTCACACCTTACGTGGAGGATATCTGGGCTCTGCTCTTCAAGCACTGCGAGTGCACAGAGGAAGGGACACGCAATGTGGTGGCAGAATGCCTGGGGAAGCTGACCTTGGTGAACCCTGCTGAGCTGCTGCCCCGGCTGAGGAAACAGCTGTCAGCAGGTAACGGGGATGGCGATGGCCAGAGGGGGGAAATGCTGCCATTGCTGGAAATTCCTCTTGTAAACTGCTGGTGGGTACAACAGGGAGCAAAGCCAGCCAGAGAGGCAAGCAGGAAATGAAGGATCTCTGCAGGGGGGATCAGAGGTGCACTGGTCTGCACAGGGACAGGAGGGTCTTGGGAACAGGGACTGCATGTGGAGATTGTGCTGGAGCAGATTTAAACACAGAGTTGTTAAGACAAATGCTCTGTTCTCTTAACCTCTTCAACGTGTGTGTAACCCGACTAAGAGCAGAATATGTGCTGCAGTTACAGCAGGGATGTTGTCAGTTGGTCTTTCACTGTTTTTCTTCCCCCCTTCATCACAGGCTCTCCACATGCCCGGAGCACTGTGGTCACTGCCATCAAGTTCACAATTGCAGACCAGCCTCAGCCCATCGATGCCCTCCTGAAAGGCTGCATAGGTAGGGTGGTGTGGACAGCAGTGTGAGCAGTGTGAGGCAGGGGTGTGAAAGGTTGGGCATCGTTAGCAGCTTGGGGATTTTTCGCTCCTGTGTGAACCTCATCTAGTCCAGTTAGTTTTGATCTGTATTCCTCTGCTTTTGGGATGACAGAGCAACACTGTCCTGTGAGTCCTTGTTAAATGCCCTGATGCCTTGCTCTTGGGCATAGTGCATTGTTTTTTTAGGGAGCTTAAGTTCCTTCTGTATTTAAACTCAGACTTCAAGCTCCTCACAACAAGGATCTTGAAAAGTACAACCTATATGGAAAGGGTCTTATATCTAGGGAGTCCACACATTGGATCTGCTGTATAGAACTGGGCCTTCTGTTTCAGAGAAGATCTGAGCAAGAAGGAAACCAAAAACCAACTTCCTTGAATACTAAAGGTGCTGATTTGACTTTGGGGTGAGGTAGCTAGAGACACAGTTTGGTTTTATGCCCAAATGCAGGACAGTCATGTTTTTTCTATTTACTGTATCCCAAATGGGGGGAGGGAAAGCATCTCCAATGGCTCTGTTAAGAGTGTGCCACTGGAGTTATTTTACCATAGGTGCTTCCATAACCAGCCTTCTTGAAATATACCCTGATATACTTTCAAAATCCTTTAAAAACACTGCAGCAGGACTGACTGGTATATTCTTACTCCACAGGTGACTTCTTACAAACTCTGCAAGATCCAGACCTGAACGTTCGCCGCGTGGCTTTAGCCCTGTTTAATTCTGCTGCTCACAACAAACCTTCTTTAATCCGGGATTTACTGAACATGGTCCTGCCCAGCCTGTACAGCGAAACAAAGGTCCGAAGGGAGCTCATCCGGGAGGTAGGTCCAAAGGGAGCTCACCCATGAGGTGAATGGGCTTGGCTGGGTGCCACACACGGTGACTTGCTGCCTGTGTAGGTGAGATGGAGCTGTTGCCCTGTCTGCTCTTAGGTCACACTGCTGTTGTTTGTCTTGGTTAAGGTAGAAATGGGGCCATTCAAGCACACAGTGGACGATGGCCTTGATGTGAGGAAAGCTGCTTTTGAGTGCATGTACACCCTGCTGGAAAGCTGCCTGGACCAGCTGGACATCTACGAGTACCTGAACCATGTGGAGGATGGGCTAAAGGATCACTATGATATTCGGGTCAGTGCTGTGCCCTAACTAATGTAATTTTCTCTGGGGGCCTGGCTTGCAACTGAGCTGTGTGTCCCCACAGCAGTGTGCCCCTGCCATGCCATTTCCTATTCCCTGCAACTGCTGCAGCCTTTCATGATTGTCTGGCTCTGGTTTGACTGTAGTGGCCTTGACAAGACACCCCTGGTGTAGCTGGCTTTGTAGGAAATGTACCAAAGTCTGAAGTTTCTTCTGCCTTTAAACGGATGATTGTCATTTGTTCAGAGGGACCAGTGACACTATACTGGCTGCTGGCCTCACATCTGGATAGGAAGCACGACATCCTTTTCCAATGTGATTTTCTTTACCCCAGCTCAGAGGCAGGCACAGCCCCATGCTGAGCAGTGCCATTTGTCCCCATGGCCCTGTGCAGACACCTGTAGCACTGCACACACCAGGCCCAGCTGCGGCTCTGGCCTGCTGGCTGCCAGGGCTGCATTTCCAGTATCACCAAAGCTCTGCCCCAAGCCCCTGGCACAAGTGCAGAGGAGCACACGACAGTGTGGGTACAGCCTGGCCTGTCAGCAGGGTGGGTCCAGCTCTGAGCCCGGGGGCTGCAGTGAACCAACCCGTGCCTCTCCCGTCCTGCCCAGATGCTGACGTTCATCATGCTGGCACGGCTCTCCGTGCTCTGCCCCAGCGCTGTCCTGCAGCGGCTCGAGCGCCTGATCGAGCCCCTCCGGGCAACCTGCTCCACCAAGGTAAGAGCTGGAACATGCAAAGGGCTGGGGCAGGTCCTGCCCAAAGCCACCTCTGCTCCCGGCCTTCTCCCTCACTGCCGCTGAGCCACCCACTCCCCTCATTTCCCCAGCTGTAAAATACTCTGCTGGTCTCTGCTGCCGTGTTGGTTCTGCGCCTGAACCAGCTTTTCTAAATGCCAACTGCAAACAGGGCTTTGGATTTGCAGGTGAAAGCAGGTTCAGTGAAGCAGGAGTTTGAGAAGCAGGATGAGCTGAAGCGCTCAGCCATGAGGGCAGTGGCTGCTCTCCTGACCATCCCCGAGGTGGAGAAAAGTCCAGTGATGGCAGAGTTTTCATCCCAGATCAGATCCAGTCCTGAAATGGCATCACTGTTTGAGAGCATTCAGAAAGATTCTGCTTCCCTCTCCATCTCAGAGTCAATGGACATGAGCTAAGATGTGTTTCCCCCATTGCCCTCCTGCCCTTGCAATGCCCCAGCCAGAGACACCAGCTGGGTAGGGGGGAACGAAGGCCATTGAGCCACTCCTGCCACAGCCATGTGCAAGTCCCTGGGCAGCCACAGGAGAAACTGCCTGGAACCAGCGGCACTTGCATCAGACACCTCATGGATCAGGGGAACACATCCTCATGTAGGGGAGGGGCTGAAAGATGAGCAGTCCCACTTCTCAGCAAGTTTTAAGGGGTACACAAAGCAACTGCAATTGAGTGTGGTTCCATGAACAATGGAAACTACTTCCTGATATATTCCTTGCTGCAGTACAAAAAAATACAGCTTTAAATGGTTTTTTAATGACTGCACATGCACTTTCTACCCCAAATTGCCCAAGAATGTATTTACAGTGTTTCCCTAAATAACATGACTAAAAACTGAAGTCATGTCTTTAGTGATGAGCACCACTCCCACAGGCCTTTTGGGAAAGGAGACTTGCCCCAGCCAAGCTGCAGGAGCTGCATGGGGCAGGGGGTTACCTAGCCCCCCAGGCTTCCTCCTGGGGCTCCATAGTTTGGCATTTGGGCAATACAAAGCTTTCTAGCTTGGCTTCCGTTTTTACAGTTTTGACTGCAAAATACCTCAAGTGTCTCCTCCAAGGGACGATTAGTGACTATCTCAGTGACAAACCCTGCTCTAAGCTCTGCTGTGCACCAACGCTGGCTTCTTCTCCCCTTGGAGCACCTCGGTGTTGTCACCAGTCATGAGGGCACCAACCTACTGATCCTGGTCACAGATCAGTAGGAGGCACCTGTAGAAGCGCTGGTGGTCTGTTAATGTCAAAGGGGTGAGAGGTGGCAGGCAGGAGCCAGAGGTGCAAACACACAATCCATAGTGGCTGCTGTGCTCAAATCCTGCTTTGTGCAGGAGAAAATGCCTTAAGGGACAGAGAATGTTAACAGCCAACTAGGGGACAAGGCCACCAAGACACACTGGGGCTGTGGCCATGGACCTGCCCTATGCTTCCTTTTCTCCTCTTCTGACAGGGTGGTTGATGTGAAAGTATTTACAGTGCTGTGTGAAAGGACAGCTATTGTCTGAATGGTATAAAAATAAAATACACTTGTGAAGCTGCACGCCCTGAGTTCACTGACCATCACCCTGACACTGCACCTCGCTGTGCGAGTGCCCCGAGACAGCCAGGCCGGGGCTGCTGCCCCTGCTCTGCCCACGCACAACAGCACCCGAGTTGGACTGACACTTTATTAAATACACCTGGGCTGCAGAGCCTGGTTACTCGTTCTCCTCGCTGCGCAGTCTGGCGTTGGGGTTGGTGATCTTGATGGCGAGCTGTGCTGCTCTCTCCACAATCACCTTCCTGTTCTTGGAGGACACGTTGTGGGCTATCTCTGCACAGTATGACCTGTCAGAGACGGATGGCATGTCAGGTTCAGCTCCAGCAGAGCTGAGAGCCAAGGCAAAGCCCTCTGGTTCTGTCCCACCACAGCAAAGCCCCCCAGAGACATCCCGCTGGCACTCCTTGGACGCAGCCAAGCACAGGGGCATCGATGCACAGGAACTGAACCACACAATTTCCACCCCTTCACTGAACCTGACCTGTCTGGCCTGAAGCAGAAGCTCCACTACAGAACAGCTCGGCCCTTCTTGTGAATGACTGAGTCCCAGATAGCTGTTAACGGTGTTGCTTACTGCTCTTATTGCTTTGTAGTGAAAGCAACAACAGAAGCAGACTCAATCCTAGGTCTAACCCGGAGCCCCAGTTCTGACCATGGTCACCAGTGACATATCACAGCCCTGTTCACCATTGTTATGTCTATTTTTACCAGGGGTATGAGTTTTCCAGCCCTAAGGCCCCTCTGTGCACCCACACCAGCAGCACTGAGGAAACCACAATGGCATCTGTGCTCTTGAAAGCAACAACCTCCCTTGTGTCACCCTGACTGCTCTGCCTCTCCTAGGTGGGAGCACACAGACCCCATACACTCACTTGTTGCTCATCATCAGCACTTCCAGCTCTTTGACATTGTGGACCAGGAACTTTCTGAAGCCTGTAGGCAGCATGTGCTTCGTCTTCTTATTGCTGCCATAGCCAATGTTGGGCATCAGGATCTGCCCCTTGAAGCGCCGGCGCACTCTGTTGTCGATGCCCCTCGGTTTGCGCCAGTTGCGCTGCAGAAACGCACAGATCACTTACACAACGAGATCAGCCTGAACATCCCTGCCCGAGGGCTAACACCCTTGCCTGCCCCGAGGCACTGGCTCCAGCCAAGAGCGGCCCCCATAGGCCCTCACTGCCTGGCTGCTGCTGCCCTGCTGCGCTTCCCTTCACCACCATCCCAAAGGCACCCCCGCAGTTCTCGGGGACTGGTAGCGACTGCTCACCTTGATCTTGACATAGCGATCGGACTGGTGCCGGATGAACTTCTTGGTCCTCTTCTTGACGATCTTGGGTTTCACGAGAGGCCTGAGGGCAGGCATGGTGGCTGCGGGACACAGAGCGGGGTGAGTGGGGGGCGCGGCCAGGCGCGGCGCGGCTCCCCGTGCAGTGCGTGTCGCAGACTGTCTTCCCCCGCGGGCCACGCCGGGCCGGCGAGGGAATGGGTCTTCATCTGCTGTGGCTCTGCCTCCCGCCTCCGAAGCTGGCAGAGCACAGGGAGCTCTCCAGATGCGATCCTGGGAGGTGTCGCGGTGTCATCGTCCCCCCCGATGGCCCTGCCTGGAGCCCGGCGCCGCGCACCTAAGCCAGACGGGCGAGGGCTGCTCGTGGAGAACAGCGACCGACACCCGCTGGCGCCGAACGCGCCGGGCCCGGCCCAAAGGCTCGGCCGGGCCCGTGACCGAGCGCCGAGGGTGCCCCGCCGCCCGGGCAGGGCTGCGGGTCAGGCCTCAGGCAGGCAGAGTCCCGGCCTTGCGGGGGCCGGTTCCCGCGCCCCGGGGAAAGGTGAAGCGGAGGGAAGGGGAGGGGGCGGCCGGTCCGTGCCGTAAGCCCCGGGCCGGTTGGGTCCTGGCTGGGCGCGGCTGGCCTCGGATGGTCCCGACTGGCCCCGGATGGCCGCGGATGCCCGACCCGCACTCACCGGTGCCGATGGCGCGTCCGCCGCGGACCCCGCCGAGAGAGGGAGGAGCCCCACGCGCGGCGGCTTATGGGATACGCGGGAGGTCCTGGCAGCTGCGTGACGCGCCAAGGCCGCGCGGAGCAGGCACCGGGCACCGGCGGGGCCCGGACCGCCGCCGAGAGTTGGAACCGGACAGGCTCTGTCCGGAGGGAACGCGTCAAAAGAGCAGATCGGTGCTTCCCGCCTGTGGCCCCGAACAACGTTCTCGGTACGAGGCTGCCAGGACCTGCTGACGTCACTTCCATCAGGCAGCGCCCGGGCCCTGCTTCCGCCAGTCGAGCCGGGCGGGCGCCCCCTGGCGGTGCGGCGGTCCCCGTCCCGATCGCGGTCCCGGTCCGGCAGCTCCACTCCGGGCCCTCTCTCACCGCCGCCACAGACGGCTGGACCGCGCTGCTGCCGCCGGGCTCAACACACCCAAAGCAAGCGGCCCAGCCCCGGGGTTCGACGCCCCGGTTCTGCCGCTGCCCGGGCACCGGGAGCAGCGAGGGCGGGGGCTGTGACGGCCCCGAGGGGCTGCATCTCTCCCGGCCAGAGCGGGGGTCGGTGCCCCCCGGGCCCGTCGCGGAGCTGGTCCCAGGCAGCACCTGGGGAAGCGCCGGGGCCGGTCTGCGAAGCGGCGTCTCCTGTCCCCGGCCCTGCTTCACCTCGAGCCCTCTGCTCGTGCCCAGCAGCACCAGATCGGAGCCGGCTCCGGGGCAGCGACGGCGGGCACGGGGACGCGGCCGCACGCATAGGACACAGATCTGCACTGCAGGAAGGGACAGGCTACAACCAGAGACACCTTTATTAAAAAAATACAGATCAGACACTTGTCATTACAGCGATGACCCGAGCCAGGACATCACACAAATATCTACACCAAGAACCGTGAGGACACCCGAGGAAAGGCGGAGGGGCTGGGGCACCCTCAGCTCGGCTAGGCTCAGTCGAGGCTCAGCCTCTCCCGGTTCTCCCACAGCCACGCGTGGTACACGTTCAACTTGTGGTCCTGTGGCTGCACCTGGAACACAGGGAAAGTTCTAAAACACCTCATCACTGCAACACTGTGAGTGCTGGTTTTCTATTCCCAGGGGTCGGCGGACACAAGCCCGGACCTGCCCCGGCTGCAGTGCCCACCTCCTTCCACTCGTTGACGCAGAAGATCCTGTAGGAGTCGTTGCCGTACTTGCCGATGCCGTGCAGCTCGATCGGGTACCGCCACCGCTTGCTCAGGTACTCACCTGCAAGGCAGGGCACAGCCCTCGGGCACCCCCTCACCTGCACCAGGCACAGGGAGCACCTGGGCAGAACTCTCCTTCTGTGCCAGTGGAACACGGCTCCACTTTGGTACATTTCAAATGAAAACTCCAAGTTTTAGGTGTTTCCTGGTGAATGCAGGCCATGAATCCCCACAGGTACATCTTAAGCACTTTTTCAACAATTCACCATAGGAGAGTTTCAGTCACCTCTCTCTCCTCAGAACAAAGTATTCTTCTGCAGCTTCTGAGTTTAGAAAATATTAGAATCATAGAGAAATTCCACTGGAAGGGCCTTCTGCAGGTCACCAGAGCAACCCTAAGCAGAGCCATCCTATCCTAGTGCTGCAAACATAGCAGCAGTGCTGTGGGTGTTGGGTCTCCTCTACTCCAGGAAATCTCCTGGTCTCCTGCACAACTCCCCCTGGCTGGCACTTCCCTCCCCGTTCAGACTGGGATCAGCAGCTCAGCCTGTGTGACACTAACAGAGCCCAAATGATGCACAAAATAACCCACTAGGTCACCAAACTGCCAAACAAAGAAGCCACAGAGCAGTATTTGGATTGAAGCCGTTTGCCTTTTGCCAGTGTAAGAGAGACCATTCCAGGTATCAGGAAAACCCACCTGAGAACCTGATGATGGTTTTGGCTCTGAGTTCGTAGAGGCCGAGAGGTTTGAGCAGCTCTGACATCTCTTTCCAGTCTGCAGCCCTGGCTACCTCAGGAGAAGGGTACTTCTTCAGGAACTCCCAGAGCACTGGAATTGCCATTTTCCCTGGTGAAAGAAGCCTGTGAACAGAAGGCTGGGCCAGGAATTCTCCTTCTGCATTATTCAAGTGCTTTCTTAAGTGAGCTTTTCCAAGGCAAGAGTCACCAACTAAAGATTGTTTCATGCTGATGTGAGTTAATATACAACTATTCTTTCATTAATGCCATTAGAACTGGCATCAGTTTTATCCCTGCAACACCTCCCAACGTTCACACAACACCAGCTCCTGCTACTCCGCTTACCTGAAGTTTTATTGAGAAATATGGTGGCAATGAGAAGCTTCCATGGATCATGGAAGAGCGTTTCTTGGACCAGATTGAAAGGAGAACGTGGAGGGGTCCATTTTCTGAGGGCTTTCCTTCTGGGTGGGTTGGGGGCTGTACAGAGGCAACACAGAAATATTTATTGGTCAGGAAAGGACAGATTTACCTATTTAGTAAGAAAAGAAAAATTAAAATTAAGACCTTGGAAGCAGATTGATCTTTGTGGGGGCACTGTGTGTGGATGGAGCCATGGCAGTTCCCACACAGCCTTTCCAAGGCTGCAGGGGACTGTGTCCCCTCCGGCACAGCTGCAGCCAGAGCCAAGGCTGCCAGCCTCAAACTGCAACCCTGAGCCATCCTATCCCTCCCCCATAAAAAAAGTATATTTCCCTAAAGAATACAATACCTTCTTTGCTGTATTTACTGGAAAAATATGGACTTGTTTTCCTTCTCTCCACTTGTGTTCGTGGGACAGACTCTTCTGTAAAGAAATAGAACCTCAGCATTAGGAAGAAGAACCAACATACCACTTTATGCTGCGATGGAAACAGAAGAAATTTTTGTCATGCACAGAACACACACATGCCCTAGATCCCCTGCAGGTCTCACACTGTAGAGCTCGAGAGTTTGGAACAGAAAGCCCCAGGTGTGACTAAATCTGCATTAAGTTAAATGCTGTTGGATAAAGAAATGAGACAGTTTTCAATGTTAGAGCAGGTCAACCCAAAACAGAACACCTGGCTCAAACAGTCAGGACACCCTGGCAGAAGGTGAGGGCTGGGGTCACATTCTGCTCACACACACATGTACCTGGTGCCCCTCTGACAGTTGTGCAGCTCGTCCTGTCCCACAGCTCAGCATCCGCCTCGGTGTTGGATTTAACATCCTGCTTACCCACAGGCCCCCCATCTGGCTCCTTCCCTGTCTCCAGTCCATGGGATTTCTCCTCAGCTGGGTCACTGGAGCCTGTCCCCACAGGACCCTCCTCTGGCAGGTGCCCCAGGTCCCTCTGCGAGCCAGAAGCCACTGACCTCAGCCGTGTGCCTGCCCGTGCCCTGGACACTGCTGACAGAGCTTTGCCTGCACCCACAGGCTCAGCACTCGCATCACCCACACCCTGGCTGTCAGCCCCACTCCCGTCTGTCTGTCTACAGAACCTCTTGTTCTGAACACACTCAATCTGCCGTGTGCTACAGACTCTTCTCTGCCTCTTGCTCTGGGGGTCACCTTGGTTCCTCCTTTCTGAGCTCTTTGCAGGTTTTCTACTCTGGACACTTTTCCCACCTGCCCCCTTCCTTTCTGTTTTCAAACCCTTCTCTGGGTCTGTGCTATCCATGACCAAATCTGTGCTTTCCAAAGTGGATGTAACATCTTCCAGGTGTCCATTCCCAGTGTGGATGTTCTCAATTCCATCCTTGGACCCATTCTGCGCATAGAGCTCCTGCACTTGGCTATGACAATCGTCCTTCTCCAGGTCAGTCCTCGCAGCTCTTGTGCTGCATCCCCTCACCCCCGAGCGTGTGCTTCCCCGAGGAGCTGTGAAATCAAAATCTGCTGCTTTCAGCGTTGTCTCCCCAGTTTTCTGAAAATACTCCACAAGCGCTCGTTTCGACCTCAGCTTCTTCCCTTCAGGGCTGCGGTAGGAAAGGAAAGTAAATTAGTGACTTGTTCATTCTCTTGCTTTTTGCTGAAAAACTTATGGTACATTAAAAAAACAAAACAAATAAGGACAGAAACAGTTGTTGGGGCGCGTTTGTGTGGCTCGGCCAAGAAAGGCCACACAGAGCTACGGCCCCCGGCCTCACCTGACAAAGCACACGTCGATCCTCCCGGCCGTCCTGCCCGCCCGCCTGCGGCTGCTCACCCGCTGCCACCCGCGGGGAACGGCGCTGGGCCCCGCCGGGCCGCGGGGCCTGCAGGGGAAGGAGAGCCCGGGTGAGGTCCTGCTCCGGGGGGGCCCGGGGGCAGCGGATCAAGCCTGGGCCCGAACCAGAGCCCCACATAGTCCCAGGAGCCAGCTCGGCCCCGCCCCGGCCCCGCTCCCGGCCCGTCCCGCCGTTACCCGCCCGCCGCTCCCGCCGCCACCATTTCCCGCGCCCCGGTCACGTGACGCCCCGCGGCTCGTACGGCGCGCGCGCCCTCCGGCAGCGCCCCCTGTCGCGCCGGCGGCCCCCACGCGCAGGCGCGTTGCCCGTGGCGGCCGGCGCGGTGCGAGCCCGGGCCGAGGGGCCGTGAGGGCGGTGCGGGCCCGGGCCCTGAGGGCGGTGCGGGCCCGGCCATGCGGGCCGCGCTCACCTGGCGCGACAGGGCCGAGCAGTGGTGAGCGGCCCCGGGGACACCCGGTGTGCGGGGCGGCAGCGCGGGGGCGGTCCCGGAGGTTCACTCGGGAGTCAGACCCACCCTCACCGTGCCTTTACCAGTGTCGGCTGTGTGGCACCTCCGATGCTCAGGGAGCGTGTTTTCTGCCTCCTAAGACGGGGTTTTTGGTTGGTTTGTTTCCCTCAGTATTTACGACCTCGCGTTCAAGCCGGATGGGACCCAGCTTATAGTTGCTGCTGGAAACAGGCTGCTGGTAGGGAAACCTTCCTGTCCTCTCTCCTCTACAGCTGTATGAACGTGATTTCTTCCACGTTAACTTATGAATATAACCTATCCGAAATCCCCTTATCTCTGCCAGCCTAGCCTCACAGCCACATACATATTAATGCAGGCCAACTCTAAAGTGATTTGAAGCTTTTTAATATTTCTTACCAAGTTTTAAGCTCTATTTCCAAAAGTAATGAGATTTAAGTTATTTGCATCATCTCGTCCTCTCGTGCCTCGCCTGAGGTTTGAAATCCATGAACCTGCCCCCGGGCCTGGCACAGAGCACGGAGTGCAGGGGCTGTGCTGGTACAAGTTTCACTAAAATCTCTGGGGGAAGGGGAGGGACTCAAATCCATGTCCCGGCGTTG